CACCCCCCCCCTCACCTCTCTCCCGGTTCAGACTCTCTATTCTGAGTTACTCTTATTCTCTGATTTCAGGGAAGCGGCGGAAAGCGGGGAGGTGATACCGAGAGCCGTGTCGCCGGAAAAGGCGTCCCTGCTGGGGAAATGGGTGGATAGGGACATGATCGCGAGCAGCAAGCGGCCGGGGCTGGAGGGTGGGGGCGGGGGCGAGCTGCGGCTGAGCCGGCACCTGGCCCGGATCAGCCAGGACACCGTCTGGACCCCAAACGAGCTCATCATCGGCTCCATCATCCTGGCGCACCAGCCCCCCGACGGCGACCCCCCCAAAGCCACCCCCTCCTCCACCGCCGCCCGCTTCGCCGACGAGAGGCAGATGCGACGCGTCTTCACCTTGCTCTACGACGTTTTCAGATGTAAGTCAAGTAGCGCCCTGAGGCGACCGCTTTTGATCGGCTCCTCCATCTTGAACTTCGTGGAGCTCTTAGGCCCCAAAAATGGCGGACGCTGAAAGCAGGTGAAAATACAAGATGACTTTAAACGAGGGGCTTGGAGGACAGGCCTCATGAGTGCATTTTTTTCTATTTCGAGAAATATGTGTTTGAAGTTTCGAAATTACATGGATCCGTGGGGCGGAAAGAAACTTCAAACTGACATTTTGATGCTTAAAAATTGGAATGTAGGAGCGAATCTTTCACAGAGTATGCATTAAGACTAGTTTTACTTGGAATCGTTAACAAAATATTTTTTTTTAAAAAAACTGCACTTTTGCGCCTTGTCGTCCAAGCCTATCAAATGTGGTTTCAGTTGCACACTGCACCGGGAACTATACTCAAATGCATTATTACAACGTAATTATATAGTTTTTCGGCCAATCGAGTGCTTTTATAAAAGAAAAATCTCCTTGGACATTATGAGCTTGGCGTCAAATGAAGCTGGTGATAACCGTCAACACTTGGCAATGATCTTCCTCCCATCATCAAAAACCAAAAGAAAGCGCCGTCATTTTTGTGTCAAGGCCTCCATGAAAGGTGGAGGGTCACCATGTCCAGGGGGGGGGGCATTTGCCGATGTCGAGTGGGGAGGGGGAGTTCCACAGGGAAACCCCATACGGAGGTCCGGGGGGCTTCCGTCAAGAAACACTCTAGAGAGAAACCTCCTCGGATCTAATTTTAAGCAGCCTTAGCTCAAGATTTGTGAAATATTTGAGGATCGAGTTTAAGAATATTCTAATAAATGATTACTGACCAAAATTTCATGTAAAACACTGTCCATGCAACGAACCTTGAAGCTGCAGACATTAATGCAAAGGTACTCCACGGACATATGGAAAGTACACATTAAAAACCTCAAACCGAACCAGAATTATGATAGTTTCTAGTTTATTCCCCAGAGATGCAATTTCGAGAAATAAAACTACTCAATTAGGAATGTTCGAGCTTTCAAATGGTTAAGCTAAAATGCATTTTTCCGCCAGTTACTGGCACAAAATTGCTTGCTATCTATTCTTCGGAATAATGGAGAGGATTTTTTTTTTTTTACCAAAAACTGAAAGAATCAAGTTTTATCACCTCAGTTATTGGACATGATTTTTCATAATTTTGCATGCAGGAAATGAAGTCCCTTTTCTCGTGGATAAATACACATAATAGCGTCGGCCGAGCAGAAATTTGAACTACTATAAGATTAAATCCAATGGAGGTCTGTGGAGAGGCGTGAATGATCGATTATCGGTATATATCCTCATTTGAAGCTATGGTAAAGAATCGATTATTAAGTTGCTCGTTGCGAACATCCTATTAATTGATCCTTTTCCATAGGTTTAAACAGCGGATTAATCGATATATCGTAAAGCGCACCACGCCACTAAAAAAAGTTCCCTAGAACACGGACAATAGAATGCGCACCAGCGCAGCATACATAGCGCCTTCAACATCGCAGAGATACTTCAAGCACTAGACCATTGCCCATATCCCCTGTTTAACGATACTTTTTCATGGGTTTAAATGGCAGATCATTCGATACATCGCAAAGCACGCCACGCAACTGATTGAGGTCACTTTTTTATCCAATTTGTGGGAGAACTACACGTAAATACTAAGACTGAACAAAATTGGTCATTAGGAAAGCAATTTAATCGAATGGTATATCGTAAACCCTCAAATGTTGTTGCTTAATTACATCAGAATTTCATAAGTGTTTTTGATTATTTGTCGAAGAAGCACGTGAGTAATTTTATTTTTTTACCTTAATTTGTTAACAGATAAAAATATTCTGTCTGAGGTCTTAGAGAATGTACAATTTTTTGATAAGCATCCAGAGGTGAGCAATCATACTTGTTCATCTCCTTAGAATTCTGTCTCTCTGATTTTCCTCCCCCTTAATTGGACTGCATTTTGCAATTTGGACCTATAAATTCTGGCTCATCTGAAAAAAACACTTTTGTGCATGGCGATGGAAAATGCCCGGATGGAAAATTCCGCTTTTCCATTTCTCTAAAGGGAATCACGCCCACGGTGTTTTTTACGTTGTTTCTTATGCAGTTTCCCAGAGCATCCCACAATCCCCCATCTTCCCCATTCGTTTATAGTTTCGTTTAGCAGAAATACGTTCAATTATCAATGAGTCTCCGCAGATTTGATGTCACCCTACTCAGTATTAATGCTGTTACTCGTAATGGATTAGTTCCTTGTATAAATTTGCACATTACAATAATTGGACCGCATCAAGCAGAATGGAACCAAGCCACATCAGCTATTGCCAAATTCAATCGGGCAATTTAATTTTTTAATTGAAAACGGGTGTATGGATTTTTTTGCAAATTTCAGTAAATTTCCTGCATAGTATGAAGCAAATTCCCTAAAATTTTCAAAGGGATCCGCACAAACGCTCTCTTGTAAAAAATTAAATCACCCTATTAAATTTGGCAACAGCTGAAGTGGCTTGGTTCTTTTCTGTTGAACGCGGTTCAATTATTGCTTCTCAAAAATACAAACCGTGAAGCAGCCCAACGTAGTGGCGGATCTCGTCCCTAGACCAGTGGTGTGGCGTGAATTGCGATGTATCGATTGTTCTGCCATTTAACCCTATGGTAAAGAATCGATTGTTAAGGTGTTCGCTGCGGACACCCTGTTTATCGATTTTTTTCCTTAGGTTTAAATGGCATTACAATCGATATATCGCAAAGCACGCCACGCCACTGCCCTAGACCACATAGAATCACCTTACCACTATGACCTCACACTATCCGAATGTGGTTTGGTGATTTTCAGTACGAAAAAGAATGTTGCCTGGTATGGCTGCTCTGCTACGATCTGCTGAAGCGGAACTTCAAGCCGCGGGACTTGAAGACCCTGATGGAGGACAAGCGGCTGGCGGGGACCCAGACGAAGGCCATCGACGACTGTCTGTGGCGCTACAGGGTTCATCTGGGAGCCTCCGTGGCCAGGATCCGAATAAAAAACAATGCCATCCATCTCTCGCACCTCCTGCCCGCTCATCTCCAGGACAACCGTCTCGGCAACACCCTTTCTCCCTTCGTTTCCGGCTGGATCAACTACAACAAATCCGAGTAAGAACTCACCCAGTAAGGTCAATGACTTTCCGATCAATAACTGTAGGTCTTGTCGCAGGCAATTCATCAAATGATAAAATGCCCAGACAGAAAGTCAAATTTTGACGGTTAACCTTTTTTTTTTTTTTTTTTAAAGAATGGCGAAGAGTTCCAGAGTTTTCAATATATTGGGGGAAATAACGTTTCTCTTGTCGTTTCCCCATCTTCAAATGTCTCCTAGATATTAGAATATGAACATTTTTAAAAATACTGTACTTTATGACATAATATGATGAAAATTTCAAGATAAATGTTCGTTTAGGAGCTAAAAATCATTTAATGTACTATTGTATGTTGCATATTTTCACACACAATTCTTTCTTGCAGGATCAAAGAATTTCTGTATATAACATTAGGAAAATAATCATAATTTCAATTTGCATTAGAATATTTGACTATCTGCCTAGGCATTTGACAAAATGCCTGATTTTACTATATTTGCCAGCGACATATCAATTATGTATATCAGGCAGCAAATCGATGCAGCTATGACCTGTTTCATCGGAGTTAAATTAAAGGCGGAGTGATGTGCGGTCGTGTAAACGTCTTCATTAATATGACTATGCAATTCTATTCCGTAGCTATTGTCGAAGTTGGTCATGACTTATTTCACGCACTCTTAGAGATATTTAATGACCTTTTTCAAAATAAAAATCATCTTTCCATATCATTCCATCCACGAAAGTAAAGCATTTTACGTTAAGCAGCTGATGCACTTGCTGCACGCTGGTGAGTGTGGTGAGATCAGCGAGCGTTGTTGGGTTTGGGTCGGATAGGCAACTAAACTAACTGCAAAACAAAGCGTAGAGTGTCACGAAAATTTGAAGGTGCTCCGTCTGGAGTATGCCTTGAGATCATCGCCAATTTCGCATCATTGCGCTTTGTTTGGGCAAACGCTACAATCGATATTTTCAAAGCATTTAAATGGTTCATTAACAGTGCTGCCAACTTGCGAAATCGCCACTGTTGTTAAGAGGCATATGGATGCTTATAAACGCATTTTAAATTAAAATCCAGAGGTCGGTAGATGTGCTGCAAAAATCCTAGCTTCCACGGTTTTTCTTGTGTTATTTCAGCCTAGAAACAATCATAAGATGTTTGGAAGAGTCAGGATTCAGGCATTTGTCTGCAGGAGAGGACGTTCTGACAGACGAAACCTTCCGAATGGATCACATTCTCCCGCTGTACATCTCAATCAAGCCGACGAACAAAGATCACTTCCAAGGCCTCTTTTTCACGAAACAAAACCATATCGTCATTCAGGTTTGAAAAGCAACCAGATTTGGACTTTTTTCTGCCAAACGGAACCATAGATGAGTAGGAAGGATAGGGTGTGCTCTAGAAAGCTATGCAGAAGAACCAATGTCAAAGAGGGCGTTAGCCCATTTGGAGAAATGAAAAAGTGGGATTTTAAAATCTGTTAAACGGAACTGAGCGCCAATTGAATGCGGCACTCATGAGCCGTGGGCATGTGACAAGAGCGTTGAGGACAGGGGCACAAAGAGAATCGTGAGGGGGGGGGGGTGAAAACTCCACAAGTTTATAGTTCCGTATTTTGGGGATAACCTATCAATACGTCGCAATTTCAAGAGAACTTCGGTGGTTTTTATTCCAGTTAATTAAATGTTCATTATATTTCATGAACAATATATTTGGATTAATGACAACAGGAAACGAGATTTTTTTGTCGTTGATCGCCCTAGTGAAAAGAGAGAAAAAGAGAAAAGAAAAGAAAAAACACTTCTTCGTGATCAACTTTTTATGAACAGCCCTGTAATTTCTTTTATAATTTTAAACATATTAAAACGCGTGATATCGAAAATCTTAGCTCAGATTTGAATTTTTCGTTAAAAATCGATGCGATTTCATGTATTATACGTTCGCATTCTATGAAGGTAAGAGATTAAGGAAAAGAAAAGAAAAGAGAAAACCACCTCTGCGTGATCAATTTTTTATTAACAGCCCTGTAATTTCTTTTATGATTTTAAATATATCAAAATGCGTGATATTGAAAATCTAAGCTCAGATTCGGATTCCTCGTTAAAAATTGATGGGATTTCATGTATCATACGTTAGCATTGCATGAAGGGAAGAGATTAAGGAAAAGAAAAGAAAAGAGGATACTACCTCTGCGTGATCAATTTTTTATTAACAGCCCTGTAATTTCTTTTATGATTTTAAATATATTAAAATGCGTGATAATGAAAATCTAAGCTCAGATTCGGATTCCTCGTTAAAAATCGATGGGATTTCATGTATCATACGTTAGCATTCCATGAAGGGAAGAGATTAAACGTAGGCGTACTAATTCCATCATCCCTTACGGAAATAAACTCTTTATCTATGCCGCCGGCCGATCGGAATCTGTCAGGAATCTGTCGAAGCGCCACTAGGCGAAGATTTCGTCCCGAGGAATTTCCCTCACGATAAATTCTTCTTCTTCCTGTGCTGACCCATATTTGACTGATCAGTGTTGCCACATTTAGCTCTTTCCTTCACGCTATGCCAACGTGTGATACATGAAATTACATCGATTTTTCACGAGGAATCCAAATTTTAGCTTTGTTTTTGGCTATCTCGCGGTTTTATGTAAGTCCGAAGAATCTCCCTAACGATAAATTCTTCTTCTTCCTGTGCTCACCTCCTCGCCCATATTGGACTGATCAGTGTTGCCACGTTTAGCTTCTTTCCCTCATGCTATGCCGACTTGTAATACATGAAATTGCATCGATTTTTCACGAGGAATCCAAATTTGAGCTTTGCTTTTGGATATCTCGCGGTTTTATGTAAGTCCGAAGAATTTTCCCAACGATAAATTCTTCTTCTTCCTGTGCTGACCCATATCGGAGCGATCAGTGTTGCCACGTTTAGCTTCTTTCCTTCATGCTATGCCGACTTGTAATACATGAAATTGCATCCATTTTTCACGAGGAACCCAAATTTGAGCTTAGTTTTTGGATATCACGCGTTTTAATTATTTAAAAATGCAAAAGAGCTAGCCCGTTAACGTTTGCATAAGATGGCGGACGAGACTTAAAATGTTATCTCGGCTCCTGTTCGATCGACCTTTGAGAAACTTGGTAAACTCGTATATATTTTTGAAGGGAAACTCGAATTTGAGATCAAATTTTTAAAATTTCGAAATCCAAGATGGCAGACGAGGCTTAAAATGCTAGCTCGGCTTCTGTTCGATCGAATTTTCTGAAATTCGGTATCCATGGGTTCTTTTCGACCGTAAACTCGAATTTGACATCAAAATTTCAAAACT